AGGGTTGTGATGGGTGGGGCGGTATTTCTTGCAGGTTAGAGTGGAGACGCATTGGTTACAAGATAGCATTGCTCCGATCTGGAATAACGCAGCGTGGGGAAGAGATGTTAACATAATCCGTAGGCTGTGCCCCGGGATAAGAGTGAAAAAACTTTGGTTTAAAAAAAAAATCGGTTCAACTGGGTTCCGGAGAGACCGCCACGACGGTCAGAAGACTCCCGTCGTACCTCGGGAAGCCGGGAAGGCCGGGGCTCGCTCTCGCGGCCCGCTGGGAAGTGTAGTTCGTTAGCGGGGCGGGAAGTCACGTGAGAAAGGGTGGTACTTGACTGAGGGGACTGGGTTAGGGGTGTCACGTGGAGCACTTCCGGGCTTTGCCTGTGGCTAGGGCGCAAGCGCAGCCCGCTGCTGCTGCGGGGATCCTTGGGACCCTTCCGGTGGCTTCAGCCAATCCGTGCAGAGAGGAGCGGGGAGGACCGAGAGGAGCTGTGGGAGCTCGAAGGGCCACGGCCGCCGCCACTGCCGCGGCAGGGGCGTGGAGGGCAGGGGCGGCCGAGGCCGCAGCTGCAGACATGGCTCAGGGCAGAGCCGGCGGAAACCCGTTCGCCGAGTCCGGCGAGCTTGACAACCCGTTTCAGGTGACGGCGCCGGCCTCCGCCGGGCGGGCGGGTTCACCCTTCCCAGTTCTGTAGGGTCGGGCTAACTTGTGTTCCCACTCGGGACGTTTAATACGGGGAAGGGCCACCACGTGGGGCTGCCGGTGACTCCAGACCAGAGAGCGCGGGGTGGGAGGGCAGACCCTGCCCCTCTAAGGAGCTGGCAGTCTGGGCAACAGCGTGGCCCCGAAAGTGCACCACTTGAAGCCTCGAGCAATTCAGGGGCGACCCTCGGGCGTTTCCCTGGGGGTGGCCGGTGCCCGCTGAGCCCCACGTCTCTGCCCTCAGGACCCAGCTGTGATCCAGCACCGACCCAGCCCGCAGTATGCCACGCTGGACGTCTACAACCCTTTCGAGAGCCGGGAGGTGGGCTACCTGCAGGGCACGCGCAGCGGGGCGGGGGGCGGGGGGGGCGTGCCTGGAAGCCCGGTACCGAGGCTTTTCTGCACGGAAGGCAGAAGCACTGTGATCGTAGCTCGCTGAGAGGCCAGTCTGCCGCGGGTGCTGAGTCCCTGAGGGGACAGCAGCGCCGAGAATCCATCACAAGCGCGGGTCGAAAATCCCGGGAGGACCTGCAGTGTGGCAGGGCCGGAACCAAGGCTCTGCCTGGGAAGGCTTCCTTTTAGAAAGTACGTGTTGGAGCTGGAGCTGAGGAGAAAGCAAACTGGTTAGGTGTAGGCTTGGGGAACAAGGAGTGAGGGGGACTGGACCCGTTTGTTCCACTGGAATAGACAGTGGTTGGTTTTAAGGGGGGAGCAGGCATAGTGGCAGTGCTTGGGGAGCCCACATCCCATATCAGAGTGCCGGTTCTAGCCCTAGCTACTCCGCTTCTGATCCAGCTTCCCACTGATGCACCCTGGCAGAGGGTGATGGCTCGTACCTGGGCCCCACCCGCCACTTGGGATGGAGCTCTGGGCTCCTGGCTTCAGCCTGGCCCAGTCCTGGCTGTTGTGGGCGTGTGAGGAGTAAACCCACCAGTTTCCCTCTCCCTTTGCCTTTCAAATAGATGAAAATAAATGAACCTTAAAAACCAAAAAGCTGAGGGGCTTTGATGAGAGCTTTGAATCCTGGCTCGGGAGCTGGGGGTGTGGGTGATGAGGGCTGCTATGGGGCATTACAGAGTTCTCTTAGGGACATTCGGAAGTTCAACCTACAAATGAGCTTGCTGTCAACTGGGGTGGGGGTGTGCTGCTGGTGCTGGGGGTGAGTTTAAGCAGATTCCCCTTTCCCGAGGGGCTGGATGATCCCCAAGGTCTTTTCTCCAACAGCCGTCACCAGCCTACGAGCCTCCTGCTCCCGCCCCTGCCCCGTTGCCTCCACCCTCAGCCCCCTCCTCGCAGCCCTCCAGGAAACTCAGCCCCACAGAACCCAAGAACTATGGCTCCTACAGCACTCAGGTAAGGCGGGCCTGCAGCTGGCCGCTGGCGGGAGGGTGCTGCCCTGGAGCCCGGGACTCACACTGCCCTCTGCTCGGCCTGGCCAGGCCTCGGCCGCGGCAGCCACAGCGGAGCTGCTGAAGAAGCAGGAGGAGCTCAACCGGAAGGCAGAGGAGCTGGACCGGCGGGAGCGCGAGCTGCAGCACGCCGCCCTGGGGGGCGCGGCCCGTGAGTGGGTCCCTGGGAGGGGGCGCGGCCGGGAGGGACCGGCAGGAGAATGTTTTCAGCGCACGAGCTCTGGACTCAGACTGCTGAGTTTGAATTTTAGAGAAACTGCTTAGTAACGGTGAGCTGAGGCAGGTTACTTCACCCGAGCACCTGGGTCCTGTCCTTAGTAAAATGAGAACGTTGTACCCGTCTGGCCCGATCCTGGGAGGGCTAGAGGCCGTGGCGTAGGCAGTGTGCTCGGCACAGTGCTTGGGGTTGTGACTAATAATAAACACTCGCGTTCTCCCTTTCCATGGAGGACCCAGAGTCGGAGTAGACCAGACCTGAGGATGGAGGGACGGGAGCGATTCCTTTGCTGGCCTCGGCCTCACCCTGGGCTCCTCCCGCTCTCTTTGTGCCTTGCAGCTCGACAGAACAATTGGCCCCCTCTGCCTTCCTTTTGCCCAGTTCAGCCCTGCTTTTTCCAGGACATCTCCATGGAGATCCCCCAGGAATTTCAGAAGACGGTGTCCACCATGTACTACCTCTGGATGTGTGAGTAGTGAGCCGCCTCTGCGGAGGATGGAACAGCTGGGTCTCTCAGCTGCCTGGAGCCCACCCCCTGGAAGCACCCGGCTCTCCTAGCGGTGGTGGCTGGGGCCCGCTGCCCTGCCCCGGGCACCTTCCTGGGCTTGCTCACCATCCCGCTGACCAGTGTAGGCTCTCACCCCCACCCCCCTTCCCTGTCCCCGTGCGGAACGTTACTCGGAAGTCTGGCAGCGTCTTTGCAGGGGGGCACATGTGACTGAGGTGTGCTTGTTCTGTGGTGGCCCCGGTGGAGTCAGGGCTCTCCCCTGTGCTGCCCACTCAGTGAGGGTTTGGGGGCCTCATCCTGTCCCTCCACCCCTCAGGCAGCACTCTGGCCCTGCTCTTGAACTTCCTCGCCTGCTTGGCCAGCTTCTGCGTGGAGACCAGCAATGGCTCAGGCTTTGGCCTTTCCATCCTCTGGGTCCTCCTTTTCACCCCCTGCTCCTTCGTCTGCTGGTACCGCCCCATGTATAAGGCCTTCCGGTAAGGGCTGGGGGCTGGGGGGCGGGCCCAGGGCAGGCCCCACACCTCATCCTCCAGCCCTGATTCTTCTCCCACCCTCCCCGTGGCTTTCTCCACAGGAGTGACAGTTCGTTCAATTTCTTCGTCTTCTTCTTCATTTTCTTCGTCCAGGATGTGCTGTTCGTCCTGCAGGCCATTGGCATCCCGGGTTGGGGGTTCAGGTCTGTGAGCCTGCTGTCCACTCTCACCAGGCCACCACTGGCGCTGGGGACCGGAGCAGAAGCTGTTTAGAAAACAAGAGATTTTTTTTTTAAGCCTTGGGAGATGCTAGTTTAAGGAGGGACTTAGGGTGTGATCCCAGGATAGAGCGAGCCCAGACAGCCCTCCACAGGCACGGATGGACGCGGAAGAGGCTGCGCCCGGGCAGTCGGAAGCGTCCTGGAGGAGGCTCGTCCGACTGCGGTGGAGGAGGGGAGGGAGGGTCCCCTGCAGAGAAGGGTCTGGTCGGGGTACGAGTGTGCGGAGCTCAGAGCGCTGGCAGCCGATGGCTCAGGAGAGGGGATTCAGCTGCAGAGACAGTGGACGCAGTCGAGGACTAGGGGATGTGGAGTGCCGCCTGCCGGAGGGGGCAGGACGTGAGCCTCACGAGTGGAGCCCCGCTCACCGCCCCCGTCCCCGTCCTGACAGTGGCTGGATCTCCGCCCTGGTGGTGCTCAAGACCAACACAGCAGTGGCTGTGCTCATGCTGCTGGTCGCCCTGCTCTTCACTGGCATCGCCGTGCTGGGAATTGTGATGCTCAAGCGGGTAAGGGCCGAGCCAGAGGCGGGGCCGCAGAATGTTCCGGAGGAGCTGGCTGGGGCCTCCGCTAATGGCCTCTGGGGTGTGTGTGTGTGTGTGTGTGTGTGTGTGTTGGGAGAGGAGGGGAGGGGAGGGCGGGCAGGAGCCTGGAAGGCCAAGCCAGAGGAGCAGGCCGAGGGGTGGCCGTGATGGCGTCAGGTTGGGATGGGGCGGCTGCGACTGGAATGTTCTGGAACCTCTGCCCTCTCTTCGCAGATCCACTCCTTGTACCGCCGCACAGGTGCCAGCTTTCAGAAAGCCCAGCAAGAATTTGCTGCTGGTGTCTTCTCCAACCCTGCGGTGCGAACCGCAGCTGCCAACGCAGCCGCTGGGGCTGCTGAAAATGCCTTCCGGGGCCCATGACCCCTGACTGGGATGCCCTGGCCCTGCCACTTGAGGGAGCTGACCTGGCCCCCTTCCCTGAGGTTTCTGGGACTTGGAAAGACAGCACTACTCGATGGCTCCTCCCTAGTGCCCCCAATCCCACAGCCATGACTGCTGAACCTGACTCAGGGGTTTGGGAGTCCACTGTGACCCGGTCACTGCCCACCCTGCCCCTTCAGGCCACACTGCTGCCACCTCCCACACACCCCAGCCCAGCTTCCCTCTGCTGTGCCAAGGCTTTTGCTTCAGTTATTTAAATTAAAAAAAATTAACTAGAACACATCTGTTTCCTTAATTTTTATGGAGAATTAGCCCTTTGGAAAGAGCAAGGACAGGGTGGAGGGGACTGGGTGGAATCCAGGGATAAGGATGGAGCTGGCCAGAACGTTGACTGAGAGCTGCGGGCTGGGCGGGGCGGAGCGCTGGGGTGGGGGGCGGGGGTGCTGGCACAGGGAGAGGGAAGTCAGTCCAGGCTTGGGCGTGGAAACATGGGGACGCCAGCGAGCCTCGCTCCCCAGCCCTCTCCATGAATGACCAAGGAAGAGCATTGCCGCGGCTGGAAAGCCGGCCGCAACCCGGGGGTCAGCTCAGTGGTTCCAGCGGGCTCTGAGAGGATCTTAGCGTCTCGGCCAGGGCTGAAGGAGAGCTCCCGCGAAGAGATCCGCCGCTGCCCCCTCCCCTGGGGCCGCGGCCGGCCGGGACTACAACTCCCGGGGTGCACCGCGCTGCCACGCCACGCCCCTCCCCCAGCACCGTCCGGTCCATCCCCATCCCCCGCCTCCAGTCCCCGACCTGCTGCAGCCCGAGCTGGGGAAGCGGAGCGTGGTGGGGAGGGGAGCGGTGCAGGCGACCCGGGAGACAGCGGCGCCGCGGCCTCTCCCCACCAGGCGGCCCCGGATGCCACTGGACACCCTGAGGGCACACCGACCCCTCCCCTCTTCTCTAGACTGATTTGCATCCTTCTCGCCCTTACCCTCCCCACCCTTGCCTGTGCTCCGAGCCTCCGCCCTCTGCTCACTCTGGGACCGGCCCTTCTCGGCTTCCCTCTTCCCTAGGGAGATGCGATGAGCCGGTGCCCCCGCGTCCTCCTCGCCGCCCCGGGCGCGGTGCTCGTCCAGTGCCCGTGGTGGGGAGGGAGTACCTCGCGGTCCCTCCGTGACGCCCCTCCTCTGGGCCCCCCCCCAGCTGGCGTCCCTGGGCCATGCCCCGGGGGACCCAGCCAGGGGGTGGGCTCTAGAGCGAGGGGCGTGGAGAGGAGAAGGGACGGGGCCTTGGGCGCCTCTGAGATGCTCCCAAGCGCCTGGTGGGGCCGAGAGAGGCATAGGCATCCGGGCGGCAGGCAGGATGCCCTCGCCTAGTGACTCCAGCCGCTCGCTGACCAGCCGGCCCAGCACCCGGGGCCTGACCCACCTCGGCCTCCACCGGCCCTGGCTGCAGGCCCTGCTCACGCTGGGGCTGGCCCAGGTGCTCCTGGGCATCCTGGTGGTCACCTTCAGCATGGTGGCCTCCTCCGTCACCACCACCGAGAGCGTCAAGAGGTCCTGCCCATCTTGGGCTGGGTTCTCGGTGAGTTGGATGCACTGTTGATGGGGAGGGAGGCTCCCCCCGTGGGCCCCACCCCTCCAGCCAGCTGCAAGTCCACATCCTGGCTTCTCCCTCCCACCCCACCCTTGATCCTCTCCCACCTTTCAGGGCTGGGTGCATCCTGTGGCAAAGGGCTCACACAGGTGCTTCCCTGCCAGGCTGAGCCTGTGCCCACTCTGTCCCCAGCTAGCGTTCTCCGGGGTTGTTGGCATCGTATCCTGGAAGCGGCCATTCACTCTGGTGGTAGGTGCCAGGGTCCAGAGCCCCCCGGGAGGCAGTGTCCGGCACCTGAGGGGATGCCCATGTGTGCCCTCAGGGAGGGAACTGGCTCTCCAGTTGGTGCCAGTCAGGCACAAAGCGTCTTGGGGGAGGGGGCTCCGTCCCTGGTGCAGGGGCTGGGAGCGTCCAGCCCTGAGCTGGCTTCCTGTTTTCCCCAGATCTCCTTCTTCTCCTTGCTTTCGGTGCTCTGTGTCATGCTTAGCATGGCGGGCTCTGTCCTCTCCTGTAAGAATGCCCAGCTGGCCCGAGACTTCCAACAGTGTTCCATGGTGAGGTTCCAGGAGGCAGAGACAGGAAGACCTGGTGGGGGAGGCGTGCCGGGCACCTGCGCTTGTCCTGACTCAGGCTGCCTCACCTTCTCCACTCCTGCCCAGGACGGAAAGGTCTGTGTGTGCTGTCCCTCTGTCCCCCTAGTCCGGCCCTGTCCCGAGTCAGGGCAGGAACTGAAAGTGGCCCTTAACTCCACCTGTGAAGAAGCCCGAGGAGCCCTCAAGGTGAGCATGCACCTTCCCCCCTCTGCCGTGCCTTCTGCCCCCTCCATGCTCCGGGTCTTCACCCTTGCCTTGCCTCCTGGGGTCCTCAGAGGCCCAGAATATCTGTGGTCCACACTGCTTTTCCCTCCCACAGAACCTGCTCTTCAGCGTCTGTGGGCTCACCATCTGTGCTGCCATAGTCTGTACACTCTCTGCTATCGTCTGCTGTGTCCAGATCTTTTCCCTGGACCTTGTACATACGGTGAGAGGGCTGCCGGGGTGTGTGCACTGGCTCCAGGCGGGAGTGGGCAGTGGCCATACATCTGGCTTCTGGGTATCAGGGTCTGAGGTCACCAGTAGGCACCTAGTGTGTGTCAGAGGGAGGGAGCCTGAGACCAGGAGAGAGAACTTTAACGAGGAGGCCTGGAAGGTAGGGTGGAGTCAAGCAGGTCCCAGATGGAAGTGGGGGTGACGGGCAGACAGAGCTGTGGGGACTAAGAACAGGTAGCAACTCTGAGAGAGGGAGGGCAGGGCCAGAGCTGGAGGGCCAGGCTGGGGGCCGGGCTAAAGGAGGAGCTGGTTCAGGGAGAGGGGTGGGCCCAGAATTGGAGCTCCTCGGAGAGAGCTGGGCCACGAATGCGCTCAGTGAGCGAGGAGCTGCGCAGATCCAGGAGGGGCTGTATCCCCGGAAACCAGGCTGGCTCACCGGCTTGCTCCCCAGCAGCTGGCCCCCGAGCGCTCCGTCTCGGCTACCCTGGGGTCTCTGGCCTGCACAGCCTCACCCCCAGCCCCTCTCCTACACACCATGCTGGACTTGGAGGAATTTGTACCGCCCGTGCCCCCGCCGCCCTACTATCCCCCTGAGTACACCTGCAGCTCCGAAACAGATGCACAGAGGTGAGACTGGCAGTCCTGCTGGGGGGACCGGGCGAGGGGTGGGCTGAGGCTGGATCCTTAGGGGGATCTTTGTGGAGAGGGAGTTATTTTCCAGGCCCTCACCCTCCCCTTCATCCTGCCAGCATCACGTACAATGGCTCCATGGACAGCCCTGTGCCCTTGTACCCTACCGATTGCCCCCCTTCATATGAGGCCGTCATGGGGCTCCGAGGAGACAGCCAGGTGAGAGCAGGGTTGGTGCGGGCTGGGGAGCCGAGGATGGAGCTGGGAAGGCTGAACGAGCCAGAGTGGCTGGAGACAGATAATGGCAGTGTGCGTGCTCTGTGCAGTGCTTGCGGGGCACTTTTTTCAAATGTGCAAACCAAGGCCCGCCTGAGTGAAGTGCCATGTAGGAAGTGATGGGGCGGGTCTGGAAGCCGGCTCCCCAGCTCTCCGCCCAAGCACCTGGCGGTGGCCACGGCACAGCTGTATAGGGCCGGACCCTTGACCCTTGTCTTTCTCAGGCCACGCTGTTTGATCCTCAGCTTCATGACGGCTCCTGTGTCTGTGAGCGGGTGGCCTCCATTGTAGATGGTGAGCAGAGCGTTGGGACAGCGGCTCCCGGGCTGGGTTGCCAGGGGCCGCGGGGCTGGCTGGGGACAGAAATGGGAGGAAGACAGGCTGAGTTGGTGGTTTAGTGACACCTGGGGGCTGGGGCTTCCTGGGACCCTGGACCTGGCTACCCCACTCCTAGATAAAGCTGGAAGCAAAACTGCTGGGGAGGAAAGGAGCTGCCCTGCCCCGGCTGGGCTGGGCCAAGCCGGCGCTACCCAGCGCCCCCTGCCGCCCACAGTGTCCATGGACAGCGGGTCTCTGGTGCTGTCCGCCATCGGTGACCTCCCCGGGGGCTCTAGCCCGTCGGAGGACTCGTGCCTGCTGGAGCTGCAGGGCTCCGTGCGCTCCGTTGACTACGTGCTCTTCCGCTCCATCCAGCGCAGCCGCGCCGGCTACTGCCTCAGCCTGGACTGCGGCCTGCGGGGCCCCTTTGAGGACAGCCCCCTGCCTCGGCGGCCCCCGCGGGCCGCGCGCTCCTATTCCTGCTCTGCCCCTGAGGGCCCACCCACTCTGGGCGCCCCCACGGCTGCCCGCAGCTGCCACCGCCTGGAGGGCTGGCCGCCCTGGGTGGGCCCCTGCTTCCCCGAGCTGAGGCGGCGGGCCCCCCGGGGAGGGGGCCGCCAGGTGGCTGCTGCAGCCGTGACAGCAGCAGCAGCAGCAGCACCCCCCACGCGAGCCCCGACACGGCGCTTCAGCGACAGCTCAGGTTCCCTCACCCCACCGGGGCACCGGCCGCCTCATCCGGCTCCCCCGCCACCGCTGCTGTTGCCGCGGTCCCACAGCGACCCGGGCATCACCACCTCCAGCGACAACGGTGAGCAACCCTCCGCCCCCCAAGCGCCGCGCAGACTCGGGAGAGGGCAGGCATGGGCAGTTAGCCGGTCAGGGATGCCCACCAGCATTTCTGCGGAGATCCCTGTGGAGGACGAAAGGGTGCGTTCTCATCAGCGCGAGTTCCTGGCTGCTCACTGCCCCGGGCACAGCCCCAGTAGCTTTAATGGCTGCCCAGAGGAGGCCTCAGTTCCTCAGCTCCCAGCTTGGGCCAGCGACCCACCCTCTCCAAGCCTCAGTTTCTCACCTGTAGAACAGGTAGAATTATGGGAGCACCATGGATATCCTGTAAATTGCCAAGAAATGAGGTCAGGCAAGTGAGCTGTGTAGCGCTGTCACGTTACCTAAGTGCCAGGTACTGGGTGGGCAGGAGGCGCGTGGCCCCTGTCTTCCTTGACTATACCACGTAGCTGCCGGCAGAGGTGACGGCCCCTTGACTGGGGATGGGGAGTGGGAGCTGCTAAAGCGCCTCTGGGCTAGAGTTCTCACAAGAAGATAGCGGTGGGCTTTCGGCATCCCATATCAGAGTACCTGGGTTCAGTTCCCAGCTCTGCCGTGTGCACCCTGGGAGGCAATGATGATAGCTCAAGTAATTGGGTCCCTGCCACCTACATGGGAGACCTGGATTGAGTTCCTGGTTCCCAGCTTTGCCCCGGCCCAGCCCTAGCTGTTGCAGAAATTTGGGGATAAACCAGATGGGAGCAAGCTCACTCTGTTTCTCTTTTCCTCTTAAATAATTCTTTTTATTTGTTAAAGATTTTTTTTTCTATTTTTTTTAAAGGTAGAGTTACAGAAAGAGAGGGAGGCACAGGGAGAGAGATCTGTCTGCTGGTTCACTCTCCAAATAGCCACAAGGCCCAGGGCTGGGCCAGGAGAAAGCTGGGAGCTCCATGTGGGTCTCCCACACGGGTGGCAGGAGCCCAAGTACTTGAACCATCTTCCGCTGCTTTCCTGGGTGCACTAGCAGGAAAATGGAATGGAAGTGGAGAAGCTGGGACTTGAACCAGTGCTCGTATGTATGCCAGCATCACAGGTGGTGGCCTAACCTGCTGCACCACAACATGCCTCTCAGATTCTTCTTATTAAAAACAAACAGGGCCGGTGCCCTGGCTCACTTGGTTAATCCTCCGCCTGCGGTGCCGGCATCCCATATGGGCGCTGGGTTCTAGTCCCGGTTGCCCCTCTTCCAGGCCAGCTTTCTGCTGTGGCCCGGGAGTGCAGTAGAGGATGGCCCAAGTGCTTGGGCCCTGCACCCGCATGGGAGACCAGGAAGAAGCACCTGGCTCCTGCCTTCGGATTGGCACAGTGCATCAGCCGTAGCGGCCATTTGGGGGGTAAACCAATGGAAGGACGACCTTTCTCTCTGTCTCTCCCTGTCTATAACTCTACCTGTCAAAAAAAAAAAAAAAAAAAAAAAAAGACAAACAGTGAGATGGGCAAGGGTGTCCAGAGAGTCCTCCTACTCAATCTCTCTCTCTCTCTCCCTCTCCTCCCCAGCTGACTTCAGGGACCTTTATACCAAAGTGCTTGAGGAAGAAGCTGCTTCTGTCTCCTCTGCAGATACAGGTGAGAGGGTGGTGGGTACCTGGTGGGGGGAGGGGAGGGCTGCCTGGTCATCGTGCACCCTCCATTCTTTTATCTCTCTCTCTCGATGTCTGTCTCTCACCCCCTCTCTCTCCAGGGCTCTGCTCTGAAGCCTGCCTCTTCCGCCTAGCCCGCTGCCCTTCCCCTAAGTTGCTGCGTGCCCACTCAGCTGAGAAACGACGCCCTGTGCCCGCCTTCCAGAAAGTTCCCCTGCCCTCAGGCCCTGCACCTGCCCACTCCCTGGGGGACCTGAAGGGCAGCTGGCCAGGCCGGGGCCTGGTCACTCGTTTCCTCCTGATGTCCAGGAAGGCCCCAGACCCCACTGGGCCTGGAGCCCGTGGGCAGAAGCAGGTAAGAATTAGGGTAGCCTGGAGAGATCCCTGGGAAAACCTGGAGCATCACGCTGGGCCCTACAGCTGCCCTCTCCTGTGTCCCCCTCCAGGTGCCCCGGAGCCCGTGGAGCCGGTCAGGCCGAGAGAGCCTCCACCTTCGTAGCTGTGGTGATCTGAGCTACGGCTCCTCCCTGCGGCGCCTCCTGTCCGGCCGCCGGCTGGAGCGTGCCGCCCGCCCCCACAGCCTGAGTCTCAATGGGGGCAGTCGGGAGACGGGGCTCTGACCTGAGCTGCGTGTCACACTGAACGGATCCAGATGATTGCTGGGGCCACAGGCACCATCTGGTTGGGACCAGCAGCCCCCAGCGCCCCCTTGCACTGGCTGGCACAAAAATCTGCTGTTATACCCCCCCCAAGATGTCCCTTTTCCTCCTACCTTTGGGGGCTCCTGCTGCTTGCCTCTGCCCCTCCGGACTGGGCATTTCTGACCTGTGCTGCAGGGGTGTTCGGGCTTGCGGGGAGGGGCAGACGCCCTTGTTTACAGCACTCCCGTCCCTGCGGTATGAACGTGGCTCCTCGTGATGAGCGGGAGCACTCGGGCCCCAGTGTTAAGTAGAGCGGAGGAGTGCCTGTGGGCCAGGTGGCGAGGCAGGCCTGGGGCGGCCGACATCTGAGCGGCTCCGGCTCCGCTGCCTCTAGCTGCATGAACCTGGGCGAGTTATTTAATAACCTCGATTGCCTCATCCGAGAAACATTGTGAAGATGAATGTTTGTAAAGCTCTTACCACCTAAGTAAGCCTTCAATAAATTCCCACTTTCCCCTTCTCTCCGCATCGTTCTGTATCAACAAGGAAATCTGCCCTCGTAGTCCTCATATTTAAAACGACCCTTTCAAGCCACTGTTTCTTTCCAGCAACCACAGGACCTCTGCTGCTTTCACAGCAAATGCTCTTCTCTTCCCTCCACTCCTGCACCTCCACCTCTCCTCACTGCCATTACGCTCTCTCCCCTGCCTCTCCCAGCCACTGCCCTTGACAATGCTTTCTGTGATCAAAGTGGTTTTAGATCCAGCGACCATTTCTCTGCCTGCATCTCATTTGACCCCACAGTGGAAATTAACCCAGATAATAGGCATAGTTCTTCTAGAATTTTCCTTTAAGATATGTATTTATTTGAAAGGCGGAGTGACAGAGAGATCTGCCATCCACTGGCTCCCTCCCCAAATGCTGCTAACAGCCAGGTCTGGGCCAGGCCAAAGCCAGAAACCAGGAACCACAAACTCCATCCTAGTCTCCCACAAGAGTGGCAGGAGGGCCAGCGCTGCGGCTCAATAGGCTAATCCTCCACCTTGTGGTGCCAGCACACCGGGTTCTAGTCCCAGTTGGGGCGCCGGATTCTGTCTCGGTTGCCCCTCTTCCAGGCCAGCTCTCTGCTGTGGCCCGGGAGTGCAGTGGAGGATGGCCCAGGTGCTTGGGCCCTGCACCCCATGGGAGACCAGGAAAAGCACCTGGCTCCTGGCTTCAGAACAGCGCAGTGCCCCAGCCGCAGCATGCTGGCCGCGGTGGCCATTAGAGGGTGAACCAACGGTAAAAGGAAGACCTTTCTCTCTGTCTCTCTCTCACTGTCCACTCTGCCTGTCAAAAATAAAAAAAAAAAAAAATTTTTAAATAAATAAAATAAGAGTGGCAGGGGCCCAAGCACTTGAGCCAGGCTTTCTCGGGCGCATTAGCAGAGTTGGATCAGAAGCAGAACAGCCAGGACTCAAAGGGGCTGCAGTACGGGATGTGAGCCTTGCGGGTGCTGCTGCACTACCACGCAAGTTCCTCCTCTCCTTGTTCTTGAAGGTCTCACCTGGTGCTGTTTTCCCTCCTACCTCCCTCCAGGTGTCCTCTGCGAGCCTGCCTCACACGGGGGGGGGGGGGGGGGGGGCAGGGCTCAGCGCTCAGCCCCCTCCTCGACTCCCTCTCTTTCTGAAGGTGGTCCTACAAGGTTCATCCCTTTACCACCTGCGAGTGAATGTGTAGGTCCAGCCTTGACCGCTCTGGGTGCTCCAGCCTCCAACTCAGCGCCTGCTTGGATGTTTGGTGATTGCCACCCCTCGCCCTTATCTTTCCACCATTCTCATCTCAATAAATGGCACCACCATTATCCACTGACACATTCCAAAAGCCTAGGAATCATCTTGACTTCTTTTCCCTCACCCAACACACCTAATCCTATCCTAAACTCACCCACGTCTCACCACCCCCCTGGCTGCCTAATTTAAGTCACCACATTTCTCCAGAGCTTCTGAACGGATCTGTTTCCACTCTTCCCAACTCTCCGTTCTCTGCTCAGTCAAGTGATAAGTCGTCCTATGGAGCTCTGCCTAAATGCTGGGGCTTCCCATTGTATTTAGAATCATCCTCAAACTCCTTACCAAGGTTATGGTCAGGTACAGCCTCTGCTCCAGCCAAGCTGCGTGGGCAGCACCAGGACCTTTTCATCTGCTCTTTCCCAAGCAGGAAACCATAGCCTCTTTGCCACCAGTCCCCACCTGATTCGGGTCGTGGCTCCACTCCCACCTACTCCGTGAGCTCCTCCTGCCCCCATCCGAGTCCTGCTGTCAACCACTTGTGTTTTGGAGCACTTATCACTCCTTTTGAGTTCTTCGTTTACACGCGTCGTGTCATAGACTTAACTCCCAAAGGCAGGGGCTTGGTTTGCGCACTGGGTCTAACACATTGTAGGACCTCAACAAACTCGTTAAGTCACCCAAATGGCAGAGCTGGGACCCGGCAAACGGCTTCAGAATCCTGACTGTTGAAGCATCCAGGGAACAGAGGCAGAGGGAGGGGCACTGCTGAGATGGCGTCAGGCTGCGCGGCTTCTTGAATAATTCACCATCATAACAACACAGCCTCAGGAAGGCTTGGGGCGCGGCCACGACTACAAGATTCCGCTGCAGGCGGTGGACGCTGGGATTCCCTCGGGGCTGCCTCTGGGCACTGGATGTTCCCTATCCTGAGGCCCCCTAAGGAGACGCTCAGGGATCCCGCTCAATCACAGTGGGATGGACTCGTGGGAATTAAATCTCCCCCCAGCCATGGCCCGAGTATACACCAGTGACCGCCGAGGCGCACGCGTGGTTCGCGCCTCCCGCGCTCTGTTCCCTCAGCCCTGAATACGCTTGCGCCCCGAGTGGCTGCAGCCGCCCCGCGAGAGCTGTCCGTCCCCAGAAGAACCAATGAGGAGTGGGTGTGAGAGCCCACCCGCCTCCGGACGAGTGGCGCGCTCCCTTCCCGAGCAAGGCCCCGCCCCGCCGGCCCCGAGGCTCCCGCGGCTGCGCGCTGCGGCCGCGGCCCGGTTCCGGCGCGCGCTCCGCGGGACCCCGCCTCCCGCCCCGCCCAGCCCCGCCCCTGCCGTGCGGCCCGCGGCGGGATTTCCCTGGGCCTCCGGTTGGGGCTGCTGTTTCGCTTTGCTGACAGCCGGCCTGATGGATGGTGCACCCTCTGCATCTTCTCTTTAACCTTTTCGTCAACATCGTTCTTGTTAGCAAGTAGGATTGTACTGACGGAGAGAAGCTGAGAAAGTCTTCAAGTCCTTCTTCCTTGTTCGCTCGCTTTCTGAGGACGGAATGGGAAGAAGCTGACAGAATTCATGCTTTGTCAGTCATTCTGTGAGCGGCAGGCCCTGCGCTGCGCTCCTACCGGACCGGGCTCGCGGGTGCGGGAGCTGACAGGAAGCCCTTTGCACACTTCCTTACGGCTGTGCTAGGAGCGACAGAAAGGGCCGTGTGTGTGCAGAGGGGGATGCCCTGGAGAAGCGTGCGGCTGAGCTGAGTTCTGGAAGAACAGGCACTGATGGGCTACACGAAGGGGAAGGCTGGTGCGTGGGAGGAAGAGTCTTTGCCAGGACCGTGAGGCAGAAAGGGTGGGGACTCAAGTCCCCAGCAGGCTGTAATTGGTTGCTGATCGCCCTCTGCACTTGCCCCTCTGCAGTCTGACCTATTTATTTATTTATTTTAAGATTTTGTTACTTATTTGAAAAGCAGAGTTACAGAAAGAGAGGGAGGGAGAAACAGAGATCTTTCATCCACTGGTTCACTCCCCAGATGGCGGCAACAGCTGAAACTGGGCCGATCGGAAGCCAGGAGCCAGGAGCTTCTTCCTGGTCTCCCACATGAGTGCAGGGTCCCAAGGCCTTGGGTCATCTTCTCCTGCTTTCCTGGGCCATAACAGAGAGCCGGATCAGAAGAGAAGCAGCCAGGACACGAACCGGCGCCCATAAGGGGTGCCGGCGCTGCAGGTGACGGCTTTCCTGGCTGCACTACAGTGCCCGCCCCTGCAGTCTGATTTCTAAGGTGCAGCCTGCAGGATCTTTCAAAGCAGATCTGATAGTGTCACTTGCCTGCCCCAAACCTGCCAGTGAATTTCCATCTTAGAACAGAATTCAGACTCCTGGCTGCGGCCACCAGGGCCCTACAGAATCAGGCCTCCAACGTTTTTCTCCAAATTTGCCTTTGCCCCTAACCCTCTCCCTCAGCTCCCACACCATCTACCCCTTCCTGTTGTCTTCCTGGCTCCCACCACCTGAACTGAACTGGATTCTGTCTGCACCCCCCACCCCCCACCCCAGAACATAAACTTCATCATCTCATCGCTGTGTCCTAGTTGTTGAATGTGTGAATTGGAGAGAGAGTGCATGGTGACTAAAGCAGTCACCCTTGTCAGGAAAATGGTGCTGGTGACAGAGATGGAAGACAGGCTTTAATGATGAAGAATGGTTACTCAGTTTTTTCAAGGGAGAGGAAAAAGAAAGTGTTTGGGGCAGAGGGAACTGTGTAGGGAAGATGGAATGTGGCCTATTACCCTGGTACCCAGAAGCACACTGTGCCCAGGAAGGAAGCAGAAGACGGCTCAAGTACTTGCATCCCTGGCACCCATGTGGGAGACCTAGACTGAATTCCTGGCTCCTGGCCTTGGCCTGGCCCAGCCATGACTGTTGCACCTTTTGGGGAGTAAACACTAGATGAAAGTTCTCGCTCTCTCCTTCTTTGGGGCCAGCATTGTGGTTCAGCGAGTTACGCCTGCGGCGCTGACATCCCACACACGTGCGGGCTGCGGTGCTGTTCCCATGGATGGAGTTTCAGGCTCCTGAGGGTCCACCTGAGCCAGCCCTGGCCTTTGTGGCCATTTGGGGAGTGAACCAGCAGGTGGAGGACCTCTTTCTCTCTCCTCCTCCTCCTCTCTCTCTCTCTCTCTCTCCTTCCCTCCCTCTGTCACTCTGCTTTTCCAATAAATAAATAAAACTTACCGACAACAACAAAAAAAAGCGTGCTGAGGTAAGTCAAGTGAGGGGCAAAGATACCAGCTCCCATAGCCCTTAAAGGCAGTGTGGAGTGAGGCTTTTTGGGAGGGAGAGTGGCAGCTCCGGAACTCATGTCTCAGATCATCCACGTCTTGGGGAATGGCAGGCAGGAGAGAGAGAGAGAGAGAGAGAGAGAGAGAGAGAGGTTTCACTTGTCCAGGAGAAAAAAAGGGAGAGGATGCAGGTGGAAAGCAGTCTCAGGTCCTAGCAGAAGGGGTCCCATTTGTGGGGAAAGAGAACGCGGGAGAAGAGCAGGTTGGCGAGGGGAGATGACCTCATGATGGCCATGCAGAGGTGTCTGTGGGTCATCCATGGGGAGGTCTGCAGGGCAGATTCATGCACCCTGCGTCAATCCTGTGAGGAAGACTGGATCGGTGGTGACTCTTAGTTGTGTTTTTTTAAATTTATCTGAAAGGTAGAAAGACGGAGAGAGATCTTCCATCTGCTGGTTCACTCCCCAAAGACCTGCAACAGCC